GGGCCTGAGTTGCCTCTCCTCACCTAATCCCTTCGGCTGACTGCTCTTCTCTCTGGCTTCCTGGCTTTTAATCCCCTTCCTCCTGCTCTTCCTGTTTGCTACTTCAGGCGTTCCTGAGTTGTCTCTCCTCACCTGTAACCCTGGGGCTGACTGCTCTTCTGTCGGGTTCCTGGCTTTTTATCCCCTTTCTCCTGCTCTTCCGGCCTGCTACTCTGGGCGGGCCTGAGTTGCCTCTCCTCACCTAATCCCTTCTATAGTTAAAATATACGTAAGATAAGTATATTATTATTATTTGAATTTATTTATTATTATATATACTATCATAATTAATCATTTTGCTTCTTAAATATATACTCACATCCTATCAATATACAGATGATTGGGGTGTGGTAGAGGGAAGTTATTAAGGCTTCTTTTTTATTTTTTTTTTTCCAAAGGAGAAATTAAAATTATCAGCAGGAATAAATGGTCCTCATATAATTGTCTGTGAATTAAAATTTTGATTGTTGCTCATTTTTCTAAGACTATTTCCAGGTTAACTAAAGAAGAATGTAATTCTGTTATCCCACAGGACTAAAGCCCCAAGATGAATAGACTAAAATAAAAAGTTAAAAACACTGATCACAAAGAAAGGTTAGAAAGCAGGGTTTAGAACTGGTTCAAAGTGAACCGGTCATGCATGATGCAGCAAAATTTTAATAGACCCAAATTTGTAAAATATGGGTGTCCTGCAACTAGAACCACAATAGTAACATTTCGGGCCAAAGCCCTGAAATGGAAGACTTAGAAGAGGGAGACTAAACCCTCCTAGGAGCCTGATGCAGGATAATGGGTTATTGCCAGGATGAACTGAGAAGAACCTGTTTGAAGCCCTGTTAGATACCTAGAGTCTTTGTAGAGAAATACTTTAATATTCATCTGTATATTGATAGGATGTGAGTATATATTTAAGAAGCAAAATGATTAATTATGATAGTATATATAATAAATAAATTCAAATAATAATAATATACTTATCTTACATATATTTTAACTATAGAAATCTGCTCACATTAAACCTAACTAAAAGAGTTATAGACTAATTAATGGAGCTGGCTTTCAAACACCAGTATTTTGGTTGTAGAAATAATGTTCTCTATGCTGCCTCCTTAAAGTGGTGGTATTCAGATACTTGCTGTACATAAAGTGCATTATCGTTTGCATTATTCTTATGCTTAATAGATATACATGTGTCGTTTAATATCATTAGTATAGAAGAGATACAGAAAAATTTGTAAGCAGCATTTGGAGGTAGAAGGAAGTGACAGTGATAATGTCATGCAGTGTATTCAGAGGATCGTAGAACTGGAATGCTGCTACAGTAATTTTAGTGTTACTGGTATAACTTTTTACAGATTACTACTAAATGTCCACAGAGGTTGGCTCATTTATATTTGGTTGGTTGGTTGGCTAGTTGCTTGGTTTATTAGTGGCAGAGAATCCATTCTGGCTTTGAAAAACTATATGAAAATTGCAAGTGTTTTTTAAAAATATCTTAATAAAGAATTTTATTTATGTAGTCTTTCAAGTAATGAAAAACAGTTAAGTGTAGTTTATGAGTATAAACTTTGGGGCTAGACTATCTGAATTGAATATAGTTTATTACTGAATTTATGATTTGGGCAAGTTACCTAACCATTTGTGACTCATATTTTCCTTCTATAAAATATAAATGATCCTAATTTCATGATTCTAGAAGAGGACATCATTCTTGGTAAAATAAGGCTGGTGAAAATGAGAGAAACCCTCCAAGGGATCAGTTCACAGAACAATTGCACCAGTGGGGTCAATTACCAAAGGTTGTGAGGGTGATACAGGGCCTGGCAAAGATGCATCCTATTGTTGATAAAGTTACCAAGAGTTAGAGCAACTAGCAACAAGAATAGCATTGTGAGGAGAGAATGTATCAAAGCCACAGAGAACAATATCTGGCACTCAATAATTGTTAGTCATTCTTATTATTATTTTTAGTAAATTATATTCCATTATTATAAATTAAGATTTACTGTTTTTCTCCCATCTAGGACGGAGTTACAATGACTTAAATCAGTATCCAGTCTTTCCCTGGGTGATTACTAATTATGAATCAGAAGAACTAGATCTTACCTTGCCAAGCAATTTCAGAGATTTGTCCAAGGTAATTTTGTAGTAATCATATGAAATACAATTAACTTACATATAAAAATACATTTGCTAATCTTTATTTATTGTCACATTACTTTTTTATATTTTTAATGTAATTATAACATTATATATATCTTTTAAATATAATTTCAGTGTTCTTAAATTTAAAATAGTGAAAAATTTAATATGCCTGATTAACATGATGATGACTAAAATTAATAACATCCTTATATTCATGTTTTCATATATACTCAAGAAGATATTACCCCTTTTCTGAGGGTGCTAGTGTTTGATAAAGCATGAAAGTCATGGGGATTTCTCAGTCGTACTCTGATTTAACGATACGTAAGCCTCCATTACTCCAGTTCTCCTAACTGATCTTCCTGCTGCCTCTTGTCCATCTCTCTGATCCAGTCCTTAGTCAACAAAATGGATTGTTTCTAATTCTTATTTTGAATTAGATAAATCTAGTGTTTAAACTTTTATTTATGGAATACAGAATACATTTTTTCCAGTTCATGGCTCTGTTTCTCTGCCTTTAATGTTCTCTCCTTACTTAGTGAAAGTTGACTTTTTCTCTTCCTCATAGAGATCATTTCTAACAACCTTCTCGGTAGTTTACCCTCATTTTCTTTCATACCAAACCAAAACCTAACCAGTTGCCATCAAATCAGTGCTGACTCAAGGTGACTTTATGTGTTGCAGAAGACAGCTGCATGCCCCATAATGTTTTCAATGACTGTGATTTTCCTGAAAGAGCCCTGGCACAGTGGTTAAAGCACTTGGCTGCTAAAAAAAAAAAGGCTGTTGAACTCAACAGCCACTCCACAGGAGAAAGATGTGACAGTTTGCTTCCATAAAGATTTACAGCCATGGAAACCCTATGGGGCAATTCTGCCCTGTCCTACAGGGTCTCTGAGAGTCAGAATTGACTCAGAATCAGTGGGTTTTAGGTTATGATCTTACTGAAGTGAATTACCTACCAGGCCTTTCTTTCAGGGTGCCTCTGGATGGATTTAAACCACCACCCGTGTGTGGTTAGTAGCCTAGTGCTTAACTCTATGTGCCACCCAGGGACTTCTTTCTTTAATAGGACCTATTTAATCTAATCTGCATTTGATATATTCTTCTACTTACTTGGCATGGTTCTTCTTGTCTCCCCCACTAAGATTTATAATGGTTGAGTTCTTTTTCACCATTATTTCCCCCATAGTGCCTACCACTCAATATATGTATTAAATGAAGTAAATAATAATATATATAGATGACATTTTTCAATATATATATTATTAATGTTAATTAAATTTTTTAAAAGCATGTAAAGAAAAAAACTAAAATTGCCCCTAATTTACTACATGAACACTAAGGACTAATTTCATTCTGTTTTATTTACTACTATCTTCTTTTTATGGATCAGAGCCATATTATATATACTATATTTTAACTATCTGTAAGTATTTTTCTGTATCTTTAGATATTGTTCAAGAAATTTCCTTTTTTTCCTAGCCTATCAATACATATATCATCTTGAATCACATTTTGGAATATAAAATACGTGTGTGTGTGTGTGTGTGTGTGTATTAAACTTTATATTGAAACATATACAAATGTAGACAGAATAGAATAGTAAGTTGCCATGTACCAATCATTTATGGTCACTCTTGTTTGATTTTCACTCTTCTTTCCCCCAACTCCTATATTACCTTGAAGCAAATCAAATAATTTCTTCTATAAGTATTTCAATATGTACTTCTTAAACATAAGGTCTCTTTTTAAACATAACCATAATAGCAACTATTCTTAAAAATTTCCTAATATTGTCAAATACCCAGTAGGTATTGAATTTCAAAGTTGATAAGTATCTTAAGTCCCTTTAAATCTATAGGTTTCACCTCCTATAAGGACTGAAAGACAGACTCAGACTAGTGAATAGTGAACAGTAGTACAATCAGTAGGGCTAGAATGATGTGATAGGCTCCAACACTCAGCTACATATCTTATAACTAATATCTTCTTTCCTATAAGCAACACTGGTTTGAATGTGACTGCACTCGAGTTCATGCAGATGGACTTCTATTAGTACTACTTTTTCAAAATTAAATATTGATGAAAGTGAGCTTGAAATTAACAATATTATTTTAACTGATATAATCAAGGATATCATATATTTCAAAATTGTTCTTTGCACATATGAAATAGTGGTGATTGTTCTTTTTATAAAAAATATTCTGTGGTAAGGTCTGACATAACGTTTGCAAATGTGATTCAGTTTTCAAATATGTTTTATATACACATTTTCAGCAATGCATCACATACATAAAATTAGCTGTATCGGTATGCATAATGATTATAATAGAATTACATTAAAAGTTGTCTCATACTATACATTTGGCAGACACTACTATTTGTTTAAATAAATTTGTGAAATCCTTGGGAATATTATGTGCAAAACTTAATTTAGAAAATAAACAGATTTTCCCTCCATTCTTAAGTAAATAATATAGCCTGACTAGCTTAAAAATGTATTGAATTATTTATGCATATTTATGTCCATTTAATTTCCCCAAAGCTAGGTTTCAGGCTTTGCTACAAAGCTACAATTCTATTTGGTAATTTCTCCCATACTACACAGGGAATTTTCTTTGTAAAGCTGAATTCATGTAATTAACACTCTTTCTTCTTTATCTGTGTTTTTCTGACCATTCTTTGAGAAAAGAGGCTTAATGGGACAAAGTGTAAAATAATGTATTATTGAAGGTATAAAATTTTATTCCATGTACTGTATCTCCTTATAATAATTAGATATTCATTGATTGTACACAAATTACTGTTGTCATTATGTTGAGATCAAAATCACATTACTCTGAATATCTGTTGAAAATTAAATCTTATATAGAAATGTCCTTATTTGGTGTAATACAGGGATAAATTTGAAGTTGCCCCCCCGCCCCGCTTTCCCAGTTGTTTCATCAGTAGTCTAAAATTTTGACTGATAAGAAGACAGATCTAACCAGGCACAGAGTTTGGAGTGACATAAATCCATATTTTATAGATAAACATTGATTTCATAGTTTGACAACTTTTTTGAAGAGGTAAGATTCAACCTTTTTTCTGCCTTTTATTTATAAAAAGTTATAATTAGGGTAGGAATATATTTACAAAATGTCATACCACAAAAACAAACAGCGATGGCTGTGTTTTGCTACGGCACCTGTCTTTATAGACTATGCAGATTTCCTTTGCAACTTTATTTTTTCCTTCAGCTTGGAGAGTGATTATGTAAACTGATTTCCTAGGAGAGGAAAACCAAGATAAACTGAGGCCATAATTTCTCTTCTGATTGATCATTATCTATATTTTGGGATATATACTATGTAGAATGTGTACATATGAGATAATCTGGATATCTTTTATAAAAACTAGTGTGTTCTTAGATTGAAATGCAGTTATCTTTCACTTACAAATGAAAATTCTTTTATCTCTCCTATACATTTCTAAAGGTAGGAGCTTCCCACTTTATTATTATTACCTTTATTAACTAATATTTATTGAGGGCTTACTACATACCAGGCTCTTGTCTAAGTGTTTTACATATGTTAATGCCTTTAACCCTCACAAAAACTCCTAAAAGATAAGGAACATTATGATTGTGTTTCACAGAGGCAGAATCTTAGAGATCATGAGTTTATATAAGTTGCCCAGGGTCACACAATTAATGAGTAGAATCATACTGTGAACACTAAGCCAGTGTTCTTCAAACCATAGTTCACAATTAGCATTTTTCAAATGAGTACAATAGTATAGTATAAGATTAAAAAGAAAGCAAATATTAGTGTGCATCCTGTGCAGAACTTCTGCTTAAGGAGTGTATGTGTGTACCAAAAGGTCCGGGAGGCCGTATCTTCTGACCCCTTCTAACTGCACAAGAGGAAGACAGAATCACCACCAGGAGCCCAAGGCCTATACTTGAGAGGCCAGACATGCTGCCTCCCTCCAGCTCTTTCCTCAACCCTGAAACCAACTGTTCCTCCCACAGTTCCCACCACCTTTCTGCTGGAATCGATAATTCGCTGCAGTGGCCACACAGAACTCATAGATTATGAGGTTTATTAGGGAAGCAACAGGCTACAATTCAAGTTCAGGGACATGCTCAATCTCAGCCTGCCATCTCCCAGCCGACAGTCTCTCTTGGTCTCTCTCCCAGCAGTGCATGTCTCTCTGTGTCTTTCTCCCAGCAGTGCATGTCTCTCAGTCTCTCTCTCAGCAGCGCGTGTCTTTCGCATCTCCCAGCTGGTAGTGAGAGAGATTTCTTCTGCCTCTAGGAGGGTTCCTTTTGAGCCTGGCAGAGTGGCAAAGTAACCAGTCCTAACATCAGAATTCTATACACCTGAGAGAAAGCAAACTTCCCAGAAAATTACTTTGTGCCACTCCCAACAGAATACCCCAGTGGATAACTTTAACAATCAGGAGCTACTCAGTTGTTCACAGCATATTCCACCACGGAGTTTACAAAGACTTAGGGCTAGAACAGCACACTGTGTAATTTACTTTACAGCGGTGTGTGAGAGAGAGGGAAAGAGGGAATGTGTGGGCGATTGGTGGGGAGAGAAACTGTACTATGCTGTATTGCCTTCTACTGGGCACTAATTGCTGAATCTATTTTAATGTTTGTTTTGTCCAACTACTTTTCATCTTGCTCATCATCCTGAAATACATGGTATGGTACAATCAGCATTCTATTGCTTGGTAGCGGAAAGCTTTTCTATTGCTATTTTTGCTCCCTTTGACCTGGGTTTATGTTCTAAGCTTTTTAGACTAAGCCTGTTTTATGAAAAAGCTGAATGTCTGATTAAAAGTGGAGAATCTCTGATGTGCTGCTCATTTATTCTTTTTATGTGTTGATTGTTTATTGAGTACTATTACAAGCCAAAGATTATTTGTGGACATTTGAAAAAATAAAAAGCAGGTGGATACTAATCTGGTGAAAAAAATAAACTGAAGATTAGGGAAAAA